GGGTGCCCTGCTCCTGCTCCCAGGTGTCGGGGTGGGCCTGGCCAGTTGTGCCAGGTTCCCATCTAGCGAGAAGGGAGCGGAGGAGGGTGGGTGCTCAGGGCTGTCCAGTGTGACGTGGCGTGGCTCATCTCTGGGCCTGGCCAGCCCACACCTGAGCTTGGTGTGGGCTCTGGTCTTTGCTCCTCAGAGGTCACAGGGGCAGCTGCAGGGCTGAAGACACCTGGGGCTGCTTTTGGGGTCCCCGAGCGCATGGCGGCACCCAATGCTCTGCACCAGGCTGCGGGAGCAAGGATGGGTGGGGAGCCTGCTCCCGCTGCACCCTCTGTCTGGGCATCCCTTTGTTCCTTGATGGGGCCAGGAGGGTCTGAGCGCCGGGAGGTTTTCAGGGCATCAGAGAGTGGGTGACTGTGCTGCCCTGGAGACGGACACTGAGTGCTTGGCCGAGAGATGCGCTGTGCTTATCCTTCCGAATTTGGCCGGAGAAGGGACTGTTGCCTGCCAGAGGAGAGAGGGTGCTTGGCATCCCAGGCAGGCTGGGAGCAGTGGGGATGGATGCGTGACCCCTCCGGCCACCGGCCCCCGAGTCCCAGGGCATTTCCATGCAGGGGTGAGGTTTTTGGCACCAGGGACTGTAACAGCACCTGGCTGAAGAGCTCGTGGAGCTCAGCACAGGCTGTGCCCAGCCTGGCCCCTGTAGCCAGGATTACCCTGGCCGTAGCTGCGCTTCAGAGGTGGGCGAGGGGCCTGAGGCTGCTGGAGGACAAAGCCGGGCTCTCCCTGATGCAGCTTGTCCCGCTGCAGCTCTGTCTGGAGGCGCAGCCCGAGGACGTGATGATGGCAGCCTGGGGTTTGTGCTTGCAGAGGGAAGACAGCCCGCGTCATCAACTACGAGGAGTTCAAGAAGGCGCTGGAGGAGCTGGCCACCAAGAGATTTAAGGACAAGAGCAAGGAGGAGGCGTACGAAGCCATCTGCCAGCTGGTGGCGGGAAAGGAGCCGATGAATGTGGGCGTCACGGTGAGTGGAGAGTGCCTGGGAGCAGGAGGGGGGGAAGGAGCTCTGCCTGCAGCAGAGCAGAGACACTTTCTGGGGGACCTCATGGATCTGGGTGGGCTGGGGATTGCACACGGGGGGCATGGCAGGGTCCTCAGTGGGTGACAGGAGCCTGCGTGGGGCAGGGGATGAAGAGGATATGGGGCACGTTCTTGACCCCTGTGTCCCATCTCCCCATGGCAGAAAGCCAAGACGGTGGGGGCCGTGGAGAGGCAGGGGGGCACCTCCAAGTACACGGGCTCTCACAAGGAGCGCTTCGACGAGAGCGGCAAGGGCAAGGGCAAGAGCGGTCGGGAGAACATCGTGGACACCAGCGGCTACGTCAGTGCCTACCAGAAAGCGGGGACCCACGACGCCAA